TTAACACTTGATATAATAGGTGGAAGTAAAGTATTATTGCACGTAAATATTACAATGATCTTGATCTCTAAATTTTGTTCATGTAAATTGATTATTAATCGTTATTACTTTACGGCCTTGTAATTAATGATTTATTATAATAGGCTATTGGGACAGATATTACAAATGGTAAGAATTAATGCAAATATCTGTTTAAATATACGTTTATTAACTAAACTATAAATAAATGCTTTCATTTAGACTTTTATAACACACATGAAAATAAAATTTTCGAAGAGACAGATTCCTCAGAAGCTTTATTAATTCCCAAAGACATACCTTCTAAAAAGTACTCGTCTGTGCTTGCAAAACATATTGATCATCTTCAAGGAAAACCAGAACCTCGAACTAAACTGACAGCTGCCAAATTCATCGATAACATTAATGTAAAATTTTATTCTAGAGAACCGTTGGCACAACACGCTCATAGCAGATTTGCCATGCAGCAAATAGTGTCGATGGTTATAGGCAAAGTAAATGAAGAAATGAAGATGAATGAAAAAGGACATTTGGTCCAAGGTGGTACTTTTCATACTCTAGAAAGCAAACCTGTTGAGATAGACACAAAAAGTATCAAATTTCACCGTTATAGGCTTACAAGCAAGAAAATGATTAATGCAAATGTCGAATATCCTGTGATGAGGTTTACATTTTCCAAAATACATCAAGACGAAAAAAACGTTTACTCTGAAAAATTCTTACCTGGACATTACATTGAGGTGCAATCTAGAGTAAATGGTCAAATTGTGATTAGAAGCTATACTCCTTTGGAAGGTAGCTTATCCAAGTCATTTACCATTTACGTCAAAATTTATCCAAAAGGGCTCTTTTCACAGCATTTGGTATGGGTACAATAATATTCACATTTTCTATGTCTAATAAGAAAGCTGTAACCGTAGAGTTCAAAAGACCTCTCAATCCACCAGGAAGAAAACGAATTACTCATGGTGACATGAAATGTGCGATATTTAATTTTTATATATTTTTATTATGTTATATCGTTGAAAATTTTGTTATGTTGAAATTATTGTTATGTTGAAATTATTTTATTAATATATATTACAGATATCTTGGCTTATAATCCAAACAGCAACGCTTTCTCTTATCACCAAAATAATCG